AGCAGTACCAACTGCTGCCCGTGAGACTGGTGTCTACGCTGCCTCATTTCACCTGGGGAAAGAGAGAGAACACACAGCCCTTGAGAAACTATCTCAGGAGAAGCTGGTGTGAATTGGTTATTGAACAACAAACAAGCACAGTGCCCACTTTTAAATTATTTTTATGCCTACAATACTCACACACATTCAGTGTGGTGAGATCGCTGCCTAAGGCTGCCCCCAAAAAGCTGCAAGAACAGGAGCCCATTGAACTTGTGCTGGTTCTGCTGCATGTCTTAATGGAGCTTTGAAATGCTTGAAATTGTCTTTGAAATGAAATATTCCATAGCTGCAAGCTAACTGCATACTTTGTAATAATTGCTTAGTCAAATAAAGGAAAATTGTGAGGAACAAAGAAAAATTAGATTGATGGCTAGAAGAAAATGGTTAAATAAAAAATTCATGAAGAAGAGAAATTAAAAAGAAATAGCATAGCATTGCAGGCTTTTGCACAAAGACTTCCCTTCCAATGGGAGTTTTTCTTTTCCGACTATCACTGTTCATTTTGTTCCCCCTGTTGCTACAAACACTAGAAAAAGTTTTTTCTGTGGGAATAATGGGGAAGCTGGTCACAAATTTATGCAGACACTGGGACACAGAATGAAATTTGAAAGCAGAGCTATGCATTTCACTGCCATTCTGAGTAGGGCTATGGTGCACTGTAAATAATTAATGACTTGACTTCACTGGAATTGCCTTTTTTTTTTTAACTCTTAAATCAACTGTGACTAAACAGAAAAACACCAGAAAAACTTCTGTTCATAATTATCAGCTCTTGCATCCCTTCCTCATTCAAATGCACTGCTCTTAGTGGCCATTAGTAACACAGAATGAAAAACTGGCAGTGAATGAATTCTCTTATGCTTAACCTTTCTTTTTTTTCTGGTTAAGACCAGCAAATCATCATTTGTGGACATGTTTTAATGTCCAGAAATATCTGAGGAGTGTGCAGTTGTTTGTTGAGAACAAATTCTTTTTGAAGAGTCAGTACACCCTCAGGTTTTGTGTCCTTGCTTTGGCATGAAAAACCATTCTGGAATGATTTTAAATTACAGTGTATTTAGGATGAAAATAGAGAAGATAGTTACAGTGAACAGTAGGACTTCAGGGAAATACCTGCAGGCTAGTGCAGGCATTTTAAACTCTGAATATTATTATAAAGTCTTTAGGTGACGTCTGGTAATAGATATTTAATCTAGCAAAAAAGCACTTCCATTGTTTACTTGTTAAAGTAATTTAACAGCTGAGCGATGCTATGACTAAACAGAAAAACACCAGAAAAACTTCTGTTCATAATTATCAGCTCAACTTGTACACTTGCATCCCTTCCTCGTTCAAATGCACTGCTCTTAGTGGCCATTAGTAACACAGAATGAAAAACTGGCAGTGAATGAATTCTCTTATGCTTAACCTTTCTTTTTTTTCTGGTTAAGACCAGCAAATCATCATTTGTGGACATGTTTTAATGTCCAGAAATATCTGAGGAGTGTGCAGTTGTTTGTTGAGAACAAATTCTTTTTGAACAGTCAGTACACCCTCAGGTTTTGTGTCCTTGCTTTGGCATGAAAAACCATTCTGGAATGATTTTAAATTACAGTGTATTTAGGATGAAAATAGAGAAGATAGTTACAGTGAACAGTAGGACTTCAGGGAAATACCTGCAGGCTAGTGCAGGCATTTTAAACTCTGAATATTATTATAAAGTCTTTAGGTGACGTCTGGTAATAGATATTTAATCTAGCAAAAAAGCACTTCCATTGTTTACTTGTTAAAGTAATTTAACAGATGAGTGATGCTATTAACAGACCACATGTAGGATGCAGACTTTTTTTGTTCAAAACATTCCTTTAGGGTTGAAATTTCTAAACAAATTCAAAGGCAATTTGAAGAGATCTAGCCTATATACAAGCTATTGGAATCACAGTTTATGAACTCTTTTTCTTCTTAGCATTTCCTCTGCATTTAGAAGAAAGAAATCATGATGTACACATACGCATGATTAAATTGGCTGAGTGATATACCTTGTTTTGATAACGTTGTTAGAAGGCAAAGAGTGTGAATAGATAGATGTATGATTGAGCATGCAGAGAGAGAGAGATGAATAGAGAGCTGAAAGCCAGTTGTAAAATATATGAACAAACATACAATTTTAATCTTCCCTTTGCTAATTTTTTTGAGAAAATTGCATTAGTAATATCTGTAGCATAGTTCTTGCAAAAAGTTTAAGAAAGGAAGCAAAAAAACTTCAAATCGTAGCAAACCAACCTTCCTTCCCGCTCCAACACTTTGGGGAAAAGCAAAAAAACCCTCAAATTGTAGCAAAACAACCTTCCTTCCCGCTCCAACACTTTGGGGTGCTCAAATAATTGAAGGTAGACATCCGGAAAACATATGATTGGGTATTAAAAATAAACTTTTAAGTTGTTTTTTTTTTTTAATAGCAGTAAGTATGATAATGGCACACTATGTTGAACAATTGCAGAAGTTTGTTGATAAGCATTCCTGCTTTGCTTCAGCTGGTGTACTGGGTTAGGTATTCCTGAAACTCCACCAGCACCCATACAGAGTAGAAAGTTGTGGAAATAATTAGATTTTCAATGTATCTTTGACTTCATGAGGATCACTGCACAGTCACATAGTTTGGTCAAGAACGAAAACGTGGTTGTTGACTTCAAGAACAACAGTTTCCAAATAAGTGTTTGTGAAACCTCCAACTTTAATAGTTGCATTGTATCATCCAAAAGATGCGCAACAGAATGAATAGATGACCTTTCAGATAGAGAACAAGCTGTTTACAATGTCTTTTCATTTACTGAGACAAAATCTTCTTTTTATGCAGAGATAATACTTTCCATCATTTTTAACAATATAAAGAATTTAATTGTTCTGTTTCTGAATGCAAGGGGTTTTAGCTATATGTCTTCAGATAAGGAGGACTCTTTCTAGACAATCTGTGTTAAATGCATTGATCTAGCTAGGTTTTTTTTAAATACAAAAAAACCAAACAAACTAACAATGGCAGTATTTTGAATCCCATGCTCACAGGGTGGGGTGTCATTAGCTATCCTTCCATGTGATATCCACATGCTATCTGGCTTTGAATGATATATGGATGAATTCATATTGCCATCCTGCACCCTGGCTATGGGGTCAATAATTTACTGGCAAGGAAGTCCAGGGCAGCTGTGACTGAAATTGGTCTAAATTGTTGTGAAATTGCAGTCTTGGTGTGAATAGCTGCTGGGATGCTCTCAGGTGCACACTTGAACACAAGCACTAGCTTGGACTGGAGCAGACCACGAACAAATAGAGAGAAAATCAGGCTCGGTCTTGCCTTTCCCATGTGAGGTATGGTTCAGCCCTTAGTCTTTGCAGTTGTAAATCCGCCACTTGAATAACAACTGGATAATCGGGTGCTAACTAGTAACAACTAGTTGTACTGGTAAAGTATTTTTTGCTCTCCAGTATAAGCAGAATTACTTCTGTTATTGTTCAGCCTCTGTCCATGTTCCTGTTCTTGTCTGACAAAGCAGGTGGTGCAAACCTATTTTTTTGTTAAAGGAAAAACAGGGCATTTGCTGGAATTCAAAGAAATATGGTGAACAGGAGCTCCTCAAAACTAGATGAAAATCTTACCGTTTTGGGTAACCATTGGTACCATTACTGGGAAGAAAAAACAAAACAAAAAAAACCAAACACAAACATTTTTATTTTGGGGGTAAAAAGAACAATATAATTCTCTTGTTTGCAGAAAAATAAAGATTTTGTTATTTGTGAACCAAGTGCAAATTCATTCCTAGCTTATACAACATTTTTTAAGAATTACAGAATAATTTCAGTTGGAAGGGATCTGTGAAGGCATCTCGTCCAACCCCTGCTCAAAGCGGGTCCAGTAAGACCAGGATGCTCAAGGCTTTGCCTGGGCAAGCCCTGAAAATACCTGATACTGGAGATTACATGGTCTGTCTTGAAAGCCTGTCCCGGTGGTTGACCTTTCTCACAGGAGGAAAAAAAGGTTCCTTGTATCTAAACAAATTTTCCCTTGTTGCAAACTCTGATGGTTGCCCCTTGTGATATTTGCTGCACACCTCCAGGAAAAGTCTGACTTGGTCTTACCTCTGCTCTGCCATTGGGTTGTTGAAGACCACCACAAGATTACCCCTGAGCCCTCTCGTGCTAGAGCAGACCCAGTCCTTTCAGCCTCCCTGCTGTGTAAAGGTTTGGAAAAATCCTAAAACTAGTGTGTCATGGGAATGAGGAATGAGAAAGTTACACTGAGATCCGTTTATCTTGACAACCTGAGGTGCTACAACTGCAGTGGGTAGAGACAGTTTGTCAGCAAGTACCTTAAACCCATTTTTTGTATGATAGAAAACAGGTGGAGGAACATCAGAAGAAGCAAAACAACTTCAGTAATGTAATTACATAAACCTTAGAGAAAATGTCTCAGGTGCTTACAGCGATGCCCACAAGATTAACCCGCTGAAGATTTGAATATATGTATTTCACAGTTCTCAGCTACTGCGTGTAGACGTTAATTGTGCTACATGGCAATCGTGGTTTTCTCTCTCCTGTTACAAAGAGCTTTGCTTCTGAATTTCCAGAGCAACTTACTTGGTAGGAAGGCCGGTTTGCATGTAGCGGAGCCAACCAGGATGGTGGTGTTCATGATAAGCACTATTTTTCACTGATTCCTGAACTGTGGCTATTTTGTACACATTCATGCTTGTTGGTTTTAAAAACTGTGGATGTGCTTGTTAAATAAAGGATTTGATCTCTGCAGCAGCAACATGTTGTTAACTGTTTGAAACTTTAAGTTTGATGTATTCTGCATGCTTTGGACCTTTTTTTGGTGGGGGTAAGGGGTCCTTTTCCTGCCGTGCACTCTTAACAGGAGTAGATATTCTCTTCCTCCTCTCAGTAATAAATTGTACCTTGGGCTTTTTTGTCTTCCTCTGCAGAAACTCTCCTGGATGACTTCCTTCTCACGTACACAGTCTTCATGACGACTGATGACTTGTGCCAGGCACTTCTGAGGCAATATCCTTTTACTAAGTGTGGTATTAACAGGGGTCACACACCTACATTTAGGCTTATATATCGCCAAGCCTTATATCAAAAGTAGTAAACTGCACACCTGAGAAAATTAATTTTGCTTCTTGCATATTGGTATAATTGAAATACAACCCTGCATGATTATTTTGATGTTGCATGTAAAAACGGTGAGAAGTGAGAACAAATATTTATTATGGTGTGCTTAGGGGATGGACTGCATCTGGGGTTTTGGCATCACACCCCGTGAAATGCATCAATAAGTGGGAGAAACTTAGGAAGAGAACAATGGGAATTATTAGAATTCTAGAAAAAAAAAAAAAGACCTACAAAGAAGGATTTAAAGAATTGGGATTGTTTTACTGAAAAAGGGGAAACTATAAATGAGATAGTCTTCAGGTACCTAAAGAGGAAGGGAAGAATCTATTCCTGTATTGATTCCAAATGGGACAAGAGGCAATGAGAGTAAATTGCTGTAAAACAGTTTCATGTGAGATGCTACATTAAGAAAAGAAACACTGAAGTCGAAAATGAGACAGTAGAATCTTTGATATTGGATAATATTAAGAAGAAACTAGAAAATATATTCCAAGGATAGCATTGGGTATATGTGAGCCTCTCTTAGGGTGGACTAGTTAGGGGGTACTCGGTTGGACTAGTTTAGTTGATCTTTCAGGGTCTCTTCAGTCCACTTTTCATAAGGTTTTATGATACTTGGCATTCAGTTTGAATCTGTAGCTTCCCCGAGTTCAGGTTATATTGTTTTCTGAACTCAAAGAGGTTGTGAAGGAAGAGATTCGAACTGGAAACATTAAATCCAAATTTGGATACAAGTTCCCCTAATTGGCACTTGCCTGTAAATAGAGAGAAAGATACATTCACCTGTTAAAACATTTAGTATTTGCATAGCTGAGGAGTTATTAAACAAAAAAAATTCTTGCTCTGAAGTTGAACGTACAAAGCTAAAGCTGCCTCTGAATAGGTCTGTATCCAAAACATACACCTTTGTGTATGTGCATACTTCATATGAATGCTTGAAAGATGTATGGAAGCAGACACCAAACTCATAGCAGCCAAGCAATCTTCTGTCTGCTGGTTTGGTTTGAAGTTACACAAACTTTTCTAACTGCTACAAAGATAACACTTAAAATGGAGTTAAAACCTCTTCAGACCTATGTGTTAACTCTTAGAATACCTCTATGTGTGTAATACATTTCAGAATATGTGACAAGAAAAATGAGTAAGTATTTTACAGTCTCTGTTCCTTTTATCATGTGATACAGTGTATAAGTCTTAACTTATTTTGAGGTAAAAGAATTTTTTTCTTGTATTTCCAATTACTTCAATAATCTGTGGGCTATTGTTTGAATGAACTTGTAGCTATAATGTGAGCTTGGTTTTCTGTTTTTTTTTTTTCTCCTTTTCTTTTTTTCCCCTGTATCTTTTGTGATGAAAACATCATCTTTCACCTAATCAAAGAAAGAATAGCAAAGGGACAGGAACAATGTACAAAGTGGGTATCTTCTGTCATTTGGTGTTTCTGCTTTGTGAATAGAGAACAATGGTGGAAATAGATTCTTTCACCTTCTTTTTTATTTTAATATTTCTGCCAATAGTGTAATTTGTGCAGGGGAAAAGAAACCGGCTTCCTCTGCCTGGGGTTTTTTTGTTGTTGTTAATGATGCATTGTCCTCCTTCCTACAGACATTCCTGTTGGCATCAGTGTGCAGGACAAAGGTTCATTCACAGTTGGGCAGAAAAGATATGACTCAACATTGTATAATTCATTTTGAATTTATTTTACTTTTATAGACTCACCTCTCTAATCTATAAAAGAGAAATAAAAATCCTGTTGGCACAGGAGATGAGCTGACATTTCTATTACTGAGCATTTCATTATCCAAATAGTTTGATGAAACTCCCTAAAGCTCCAGATGGGATAAAACATATAAAGCTGAGCAATGTAGAGGAAAAAAAAATCTTTCATTAGCAAATTAGATGATTGCAAAGTATTTTTCATCACTTAATTTTTAAGTTTAAGTGAGACCTTAGTATTTGTTCCTTAACCTGCTGCACCTATTGTGCCAAGAACCACCAAGGGAAAGAAGATGACTCTGATGTGTCCTGTAGGAAACGAAAAGTCTTGCATTTGGTGTCTCAGTGGACTTCTCTGTACAAAGACTGGTTACATGAAGACGAGCATTTAAAACAATTTTTAAAGGTATTGAAACACTTTCCGATGTGTTTCAGCACTGTTTAATTATGATATGTTGTCTAAAAAGCCCCAACAGCAAAATCTTTAATGTAAAATGTTTTACATGTTTCTTCCTTGAATGCTTTAGAGATAGTCAGCTTGAAGAGAAAATCTATAAAGTCAATACATTCAATGTCAAAACCGTTACTTTCTGATATGAAACTAGAAAATGAGAAAACTTAGGAAAGTAAGAAAACTACAAAGGCATGGGTGTTCCTTGGACACAGTGGTTGTCTCTGCCAGAAGAGCATCCACAGTCGGTACCCAGAGGATCACGGATGAAGAGTTTTGTGATCCTTGTAAGAGATGCTACTTTGACTGTGGAGTGAAACGTTATTCCACAGTGTTTGTCAGGTGAACACAGAGAGCAGCACAGCTTTGTCTATTTTTAATAAATAAAAAGAAGTCCTTACATATTAGCAAAGACCTTCTGATCTTTCTGAATGAGTTCCAAAAACTTTTAGAATTCCCTTGTAAATTTGCAAATAGCCGTGTTGTCGATGACCTGAGATCCATGTGGTTGTTGATTTTTTTTCATTTTTTTTTTCCCCCCGTGCTGGTTGAAAGATGAAAGTATTTTAGTATTTGCAGGATCTTTCATTTTTCCTGATGAAAATCTTTTGTCTGCAACTGGAGGTCTTCTTGTTGCTCTTTTCAGTCATTCTCTGACAGCAAAGGGGTGAAACATTGAATTTGATTGCAAGAAAGTCTTAAGCTTCCTTTTTTGTTTATTTTTTTTTTGTTTTTGGAGTAGGACACACTGCCTGTGGAAGCAGAGATCTTGGGATTTGTGCTGTTTGGTACTGGATGTGTAGTGCTGTCCTGGAAAGGGGACATTGTCCCAGCTGTCAGTTAGGTTACACTGCGTTGCACGTATCTTGATGCAGGGCTTGTCTTTCTGGCCACGGAGGTGTGTGACTGTGTATTGTCACACAATTGCTCTGCTTGAGGCTTCTGTGCAACACCAAGCAGTGGTGATGTTAATGATGGTTGAAGTTATACGTGCAAAAACAATATATAGGATTGAAGGCCAGAATCACTCATGCTGAAATTATGAATGTCAGGGTGTTAATTGGATAAAAACAAACCTGATGATTCAGCTCATACGTTTGATCCTTATTTTCTTGAAAGGGAAAGAGAAGGATCTGTATGTATATGCTGAAAATGTGTAGAGAAAATATTTTCTATGATTTTAGTCATGACAACTAGTTCTGTTTATTTGTCTGAGGTACTGATTTTTACATTTAACTGAGGTTCCTGATTGATGATATTCAGCCAATGCCTTCCCCAAAAATAAGATGTAGGGTTCGTTTATCTATTCATTTATTTATTTATTGGTTTACAAATAGGAGCATGTTGTTACTTGTTTGTGAGAGACATCAACACCATGTAAAATGCATGCAAACATGAGGAAAAGTGAAGGAGAGCTTCCTCCATTTTAAAGTCTTAATCAAATGAACCTGTGTATTATCATTTTGGACAAGTGATGATGGTGTGGTGTGGTGTGTTCTGAAGTGTCAGAATGTGTTGTTCTGACCTAACCCAGATTTCATGTAACAGCCACAAGTGTTGCTTTAAGTTTTGTGGTTTGTAGACAAATGAGTGTCTACATTTTGCCCTCTCACTCCATGATGGTACAAAGAGTGTTTCTCCAAAAGCGAGCTGGATATTGACCAGTCTGGAAATTTAAACAGGAACATTCTCTCCTTGTGGATCTTGCATAAATGTAATGATCAAATTTGTTTTAGTAAGCTAGTGCCTGAATTGATTTAGACCGCTGATGTGATGCTTTAGATTTATGTTTGCATTATCAGATGTTTGCAAATACTGTTTTATTTTGTAGACGATATACAGGAATGTGTTAGATGATGTGTATGAATATCCCATTCTTGAGAAGGACCTGAAAGAATTTCAGAAGATACTTGGGATGCATCGTCGTCAGTAAGTATTGATTATATTTGTGATCAAGTGTCCTTTCATGTAGAGTGTAATTTATTTTTGTTGTCGTCTTGCTGTAATTCAGTAAAGTGATGAGTGATACAAGTACTATATTCATTTTTACAAATCATCTCTTCTATAAACTAAAGCTAAATTATTCAGTCTTCTCTGATGTTTGTTGAGTGGTGTGTGTGGTTCAGCAGTCGCTCCCGATCAATTTTGGTTGGGATGACTTGCAAGTAGTATGATACTTTGTGGAAAATCTGGCAGAATTTCCCTTGGAAGCTGCAGTCTGTGACTTCAGATGGTACCTTCATTCTCATTCTCTCTCTGCAATCTGCAGTACTGAGCAGCAAATCTCTTTTGCAATAGTCATCTCAGGGTTATTATTTTAATAATAATAATGGTATTTGTAAAAGATATTTCCTTGGCACGTTTTTCTCCCAACTGGAGTTTTTTTCTGTGGTTTGGCCATTGGGGAAGTAGAAAGAGCTGTGTCCCTGAGGGTGACCCTGACTCCTTACTCTGGGGGCCCAGGCTGTGTCCGTGTTCTCTGGCAGCATTGCTTTTCCCTGCATCGATTGGGCAAGTCACAGATAAGTTTTCTGACTGAGCCAGATGCCTTTAGCTTTCCCTGAAGGAGCTCTGCAGCCATTCTGTGGTGACCATTTAATGCTAAAAACTTTCTGATGCCGTCAACTTTTTAATAGCTAAAACTTCCTTATCCTAATCTGTGGATGGAAAGAATAATTCGGATTTTCCTTTTCGTTTCAGCACTGTAGATGAATATTCACCTCACCGAAAGGTAATGCAGACCTAATTGTTGCTGGTTGCTAGATAACTTATCATCTCACTTTCTTCCCTTCTGCCTGCTTTACTTTCTTTTCTTGCCTTCTCAATTGGAAGTGACTGGTGGCCAAAAACATGACAGGATACATCAGTGAGGTTAGACCTGCAACGTTGCTTAAGGAATTTTTTTTTTTCCTACGGGTGCAGCCTGGTTATCAGCTGTGTGAGTTAACCTGCAGTGGCTGTGACAGTATTAGCATCTTAACAAGGTGCTCTGAGATGTCAGAATTCAGGAGAGGCCCAGGAGCGTGTCCTCACCAGGCTGGGGAGGGATGTAGCAACCTGAGCAAACCAGGCTGAGCGCACACATCGACTATGGATGTCAAGTAGGCAGAGCAAAGGGGGGATTTGTTGTGACAGGGACAGAGAAAGAAAGAGAGGAACATGAATCCGTCTGTTTAACTGGAGAGAGAAGATGCAGCCAGAGTAAGCTGGAGTGCAGGCTGCACAGAGCTGAGTTGCTGTGCTCGACAAATTTACTGGGCTGAAGCTGAAGTGTGTAATAAGCTTAATATGTTACTGCTGAAACGTGGAAGGCAGAGCAAGAGACTGTAGTGAAATTGCTAAATTTCCTATTGGTACCTAGGAAATGCGTATAAGAATAAGTGTATAATATATATCTGGGCTCTGATCATGGCTACAGAGAACCTTGAGTCATGTGGGCTGCTCAGCTTGGGCATGTCCTGCTTCCTCCAAAATCCCCACGTAAGGCAACTCCCAGTTCACCGATCCAAGAAAGGGTGGGTGGATTTCCTATACAGAAACCTTTTTGGCCAGGCGTATGGGCTGAATGCTGTGTTGTGTGAATTACTGCTTTGTAAAGGACAAGGATGCAGAGAGTCACTGTTGTCTTGCTTTTTTCTTTTTTTTTTTTTTTTTTCCCACACTCTCTCACAGAACAAAACCTTTTTCCACCAGTTCAGTCTGAAGGAGAACTGGCTGCAGCACAGAGGAACCATGAATGAAACAGAAGAAAGTAAGTATGATTGAAAAGAGTGGAGGAAAAACTCCCAAACTGCGAAATTGTTTCTCAAGGGCTGCCCATAATGCAGATTTTTTTTGACAGCTTCTGACCAGTACCTTAGGCTCACAAAAGAAGAAAGATTTGACTGTGTAATGTCAACTTCCCACCTCCTACTCTGCAGGGGTTGGTTCAACAGTGACATGGCATCTCAAGGGCTTTTTGCCCCCATTGGGCTCCTCCAGCAGCCCTGAGGCAGAGCTGGGTGCCTCCCAGGAATGCTGGCAGCCCATCCACCAGGAGTTACTCCTGCTCTATTTCGTGCTCTCGGTCTCTTGACCTAGATCTCAGTTGCAAAAGGTGAATGAATAAGCCTGTCACGTGGAACGGGGCAGGATCTGCTAACTCTGGGAACCTGCCTTGGTTCCTTCTCTCCTCGGAAAATGTCTCTGTGTGGAGGGCAAGGTGCCACTTCGCTTTAATGTCAACCATTTCTTAATGCAATTTCCCTTCCAAGCTACTAATGCAGTGGCACGGCAAGGCTGTCACCCTCCTGTAACGCCCGTATGGAGAAGGGGGCAGAGGGGAGGATAACACCGTGTAGAGAGAACAGGCAGAAGGACCTCCTACCTGGAAGTCTCACCATAGGACGATGGATCTTCGGTTCTCCCTGGGAACAAACGTCCGGAAGTTTATTTGAAGTCAGGGTATTTTTAGTGCTCGTTTGTGACAGAATAAAAACTGAGCTCCTTCAGTGCCAAGTCTTTCCACACAATACATGCTGCTGATAGATATCCTCCTTCCGTGCTTCAAATACAAGTTTACGTGAGGTTTGTGTTATCAAGGCTGCTTCTAAAAATGTCACTTCTGGATGGAAACCCCCCCCAACTCATTCTTCTTAAAAAGTCAGGCACAGCTCACGGGTGAATGAGGAGGGAAGTGAGCTGGCACCAGAGAGGGGACAGACCACATGGCTGTGGGGACAGGAAGGGCAGGACCCAGAAAGGCCAACCCTCACTGGGTTAAATTGCTTTTATCTCATTTCTGGAGAGCATGAGCTGCAGAATGTGATGGGATTGAGTGCATGAAATAGCAAAAGTGGGGTTGGGGAGAGGAGAGACAGACGCTGAGGATGGACATCTAAGTTGGTGTGATGGAGCACTACTGAGCAATGGGGCTTGTTGGGTTTGTCCAAGCCACACCATGCCACTTGACCAGAGGCATTTTACCCCCTACTGTAACCATTACAGTGTGACCTGTAGCCTATGGCTGCTTCCTCCTACTGGCATTCCCTCCTGCATCTCACAGAAGAGCAGCAGAGGCTTCTGGAAGAGAGGACATGGTCCATGCTAACAGATACCACAGACAGGTCATTTGAGAGGTGCCTCAGGGAGCAGGCCTTGGGAGAATCAGCGTGATAGCTGTGCTTGAGAACCTGACCTGTGTGGGTTGGTTTAGTTCAATGTTAAAGAAAGGATATGTCAGTAGCCCAATTATAAATTAACATATTGCTGTCATCTTCCCGTCCCGAATGACAGTGAGAGGGAGATTTCACACAGATTCACTGTAGGCAAGTTGTGTTGCACGCTGCATATGGAGGCCAAATATTTCTGTCACATTTTTTTAATATATTTTTCTACCTAGTAGTTTAGTATGCAATTTGATGTCTCTATCTTCTCGTGATTTATATCCATTCCAAAGAGAGATTCTGCCATAGGATCAGCATCTGATTTACAGTCTGTCAGCAGAGACAGGTGAAGAAAAAATTACAAAATTAAATTACTTTTCTTCCCCAAGGTTAAATGTTCCTCCTTCCTTCTCATCTTCATTTTTTCTTTACTACAACACACACAAAAAATATATATATATTCTCGAGGAGAGAGTTCTTAACCACTTATGGCATATTCTCAGTTAATGAAAGTGCCCTGAAGCCATGAAGATTTGTAGGACAAACAAAGAGCTATTGCTACATACATCTGTCAATAAAAATAATTTCAAAATGGAGCTTTCTGGAGAAGAAAAGTTTTGTCTTATACTGGTGTGTGGTAGCAGCCTGTCTGCAATAAGAAGTGCTAGAGTAGAAGGAAGTGGAAAGCTTCATTAAGCATTGAAGTGAGTGTGAAACCAAGAGCTGTGGTGATTCTCATTAGCAGATGCAGTTTTTGAAATATTTATGCAAGTCTGCAGCTCTGCTTCTGCCCTTTTTAAGTATGGCAGCTGCATTTCAAAGAACTGCCTACAGCAAACTCGGCAAAAGGTGTATAAACCCAAAATTCTGGCAAGCAGAAGGGAGCATCCCTTTTTGTAGCAGAAACAAAGTAGTGCCTGAGCTGACCACAGCGTTACTGCTGGGAATCTCCCTCCCGGGGCCTGACCAGCTTGTGGACTTCAGTGGAAGTGATGAGCCCGTGGAATTTCTCCAAACCAGGCCCTTTTATGTGTGCTGCCAGTGGTTCAGGGAAAAGAGTTGTCAGAACTAATTGTGTTGCTCTTTGGGCAGCCTCTGCTGGTGCTAAAATGCCCTGGCAGTGCCGGTGGTTTAGATGTCTAGACAGATAAGCCAGCAGGAGTGGCTGAAGAGCATGGAGCCAGCGCTCTTCTTGCGATGCCGCCTTTTCCAGGTGGAAGGGGAGGTCCAAAATAATTTCTGCAGCAGATATGAAATACACGGTGATTTATCTGAACCTAAATGAAAGGGCGAAAAGACGGCGACAGCTGAGTTTGCAAAGAAGATAAGCTGTAGAGGAGGCTGTCTGTGACAAATCCTCACGCTAGGAAGTCTTAAATAAGTATTGCTGTGGGGAGCTCTGTTTCTGTTTGTGTGGCCCTCTCATTTCCCAGGGAGAGGAGGTGGGAATGGGGGAAATGGTGATGTTTATGCTTAGTTCTGTGTCCCTGCGGGTCAGGGTGCAGCAGCCACCCTTCCTGCAGCTGCAGCAGCCGAGGCATCGCCGTGGTCGGGGCTGCGAGATTCTCCCCTGCTCTCCCTTCAGGTGTCTCTGCCTCCTGCTGAGCGTGTTTTTCTCCCTTTATGCAGTTTTCTGCCGTGTGTATATAACGGAGCACTCCTACGTCAGTGTGAAAGCTCAAGTGTCCACTTCAGCTCAGGAGATCCTGAAGATTGTAGCAGAAAAGATCCAGTACCCGGAGGAGGAGTTGGCGCTGGTGACGGTGGCGTTCTCTGGTGGTAAATGACTCCCTTTCATCTGATTACTTACCTCTTAGTGCATGGTGTAAGGGAGGGCTGACATTTTGTGGTGCAAAGGATACAGCTGTTCCTGTGCGGGCCCACAGCTGGATGACCACGGGAACAATGAGGAGCTGCTTCCCAGAGAGTCGTTTCCATGGCAACAGCTCATTCTTGAGTACTGTTGGATTCGGCATCTCCTCGCTGGGAAGGGAGTGCAAAGGACTCTCAGTCTCCAGCAGTACTGCAAGATTTTATTTTTTTCCCCACAGATAAATCTCCTGCTTTCGCATTTAAATTAATTTGGAGGCGATGAGGCATGGTTTGCTTTAAAAATATAAAAGGGAATAACAAATACTAAATCGGTGGCTGTTTCCTCACTTATGGCATGGGTAATGAATATTCTCCAGCAGAAGGGAGGGATGTTTGCACATATATTTGCACAGTTGAGAGAGAGAGCAGTCCAAGCAGTATTTTGTAAGCAGTCTTGCTTTAAAACTGTTATTTTCTGCCTATTATTGTAGTGTTTCTCATTGAACAGAAAGGCTTAATGTCTTTTTTAATGAAGATCAGACTGATCATGGGCTGATACTAGGGAGCAGCCAAACCCCCAAGATTTACTTTGGTTTTGATTTTTCTATTTGGCAGGTCTTGGTCAGATTGTTTTGCTCATTGTGGTGTCTTTTGGCTCTTAGGGAATATAGAGGAAGCAATTTAACTAGGCACATGGAAATGTGAAACTGGGTCTTCAAAAAGGGGCTAAGAGTGTAGAATATCTTGGCCATATTCTCAAATAACGTTAGCTGGTGTCAATCCCTTGGGACAAAGGATGCACCCTTAGGGATTCAGCACTCATTGCTGCTACTTTGTCCGTCTAGTTAAATGAAGTATACACAAATGCTGGGTTGTTCTGTTTGATTCATAAGTGGAAGGTCACATTTTTTCTCTCCCACGCTGAGCTCAATTCAATAGCCATTTTTTTGCAGGGCAGTGGTGGGGGTGGCAGGGAGATGGTGCCCTGCTCTGGCTATCGAGGGCATGGAGCAGCCACACGGGAGCATTACACGTAGGTGTCCTGGCCAGCCGGGCTACATCACTTGCAAACAAACTTTTTTTACCCTTGTGTGTGCCCAGACTCACCCCCAGTGCATTTTACAGCACCACCAAATCACTGTGCTGCTGCTGGAGTTTTTCAGGTCTTGCGCTCCTGTTTGAGAGCAGGGCAAGTTTTGCTCTGATAGCAATAAATCAGGTGCTAACTGCCTGCTTGGGTAAAGAAAACCAACAATTCGTAATTAATGAAGCACACTATTATCTTTAGACCACATTCGTTCCCAGGAAACCCACAGAATAGAAGCAGTTGCCACTTGGCTGTTCAATAAGAAACAATAATTAAAATGCAGGTACAATAGGGTTGTCATTTGTACATGACTACTGTAACACCTAAAGTGTTGTTTAGTCACGTTGCCTGAATTGATTGGAGATACCACAATTTCAGTATCGTTCTTATGCATTGTCACTCCTGTGCTGTGAGCAATAAACACTGCCCTGCCATGATTTTTTATTGTTTTTTTTGCTATTTGCATGATTCAGAGCTGTCATCTGCCATCCACGTGGAGGGCAGCAGTATGAGCTTTGGAGAATGCTTTTTTTTGCCATACTCCTGAAATGATCAAGCAAACTCTTTTTATTCAAAATCACCTTGAAAAAACCGTACTGGTATAGAATCAGAGAATTATCTAGGTTGGAAGAGACCCTTGGGATCATCGAGTCCAACCATCTACCCTACTCTACAAAGTCCTCCCCTACACCATGTCCCTTAGCACTGCATCTAAACGGCCCTTAAACACAGCCAGGGATGGTGACTCCACCACCCCCCTGGGCAGCCTGTTCCAGTAGGTAGTTCAACATAAATGTATTTGGTGTCAGTATGAGCATGGGTAAGAGGGAAAAGATTCTGAAATGGTGTTTGTCTCTCGGACTCCTGGTCTTACTCCTCCCTTATGGGCAACAAAAAGTCCAAGGTAGTTGTCAACATGCTTGTAGTGCTTTTGGGTCTACATCAATACAGTCACTGTAATCACATCTCATGTGTCGGGTCTCCAGAGGATTACTTGGAGCCCGCAGGACGAGACAGTTTTCCCAGGGCAGATTTTCAGCTGTGTTCTGGGTTTTGCTTTATTTTTCCCTGCACCTTTCTCTGGTGCACCCAAGATTGCCCAGAGCTGAATTTTTACTCTGAAGTGGAGAAAAAAAAAAAAAAAATCCTTTCTCTTTTCTAGCAGTTTGGTGTGTCCTGTTCTTTTACTCTGATGTTTCCTAAATGAGTAAGTCTGGAGGAATTTGTGTAAATACCGTACTCTTGGGCGCTGCTCCATGGGGTGAATTTGATGGTGTTGGGAGCCTTTAAACTTCTTTTCCTGTCGAATGGTTGTGGCTACTGATGCCATCTCCACCCCTGCTCTTGTCTGCCAGTGACACGCAGCAGCTGTCTCTGGAAGCTGAGACACTTTGCTCTAATGAAAGTCACGTTTACAGTAGATACACTGGGTTGAAATGAAACATTCTATAATGCACAGGAGGTTAGAATAGATGATTTAAGGGTTTCTCTCTGTTCTGTGTGAAGTCCAGGCTGAAAGCAGGTGCTGGAAGTTTTTCTGCTTGAGTCCAGCATCAGAGACATGTCACCTTTATTGTGCCTGAATAGTGTGGAGATGATGGTCCCCACAGGGACCTGATTTGATACTTAGCTACATTCTAAGAAGTTGATGTGGCTTTACAAATGTATTTGTAGTGTTTTTCTCATATTTATATACAGCTTTTACTCCTTTTTCTGAAGCTTTTCTATTTTGTTTTCTCTTTCTACAGAAAAACATGAACTACAACCAAATGACTTGGCTATCTCAAAATCCTTTGAGTCATCCAGTCGTATGTTTGTCTACCGAAAAGATCTGACTGATTCTTTGGTAAGGATGTGTATTGTATACTTCCCATTTTTGATTTGTCTGACTCCGGATCAAGAGCTTAATATTCCTCTCAGAGGGCTTTTTCAATACAGAGTTTATTTTTGGCTTCCTTAGTAAAGCTTACTGAGCTGCTCTGTACCTGAAAAAAAAATATATATCTTGTATTAACAGCAGTTATTTGACTGAACAGTAATGGAATTTGTTCATCAATTTCAAATAGACCAAAGCTTCTGGACAGCTTAAATCTTTCAATCTACATCAGCCTGGAAAAGCTGACTTGTGCTTGTACAGGACTGGGTAGGATAAGGATTATTCAGGGCCCATGTGACTATTTTTTATTCCTTTTCCTCCCCCTTTGTGCCCTGGTCCCACTTTAAGTGGCTGGTGCATAGTCATTCAAGGTGATGGGCAAACTCTGGGGAATTACTACAGGTAGAAATAGACGTGTGAGTTCTACCAAAATTATTTGATATCAGTGTGACTCAGTGGGGTGGCAGCTGCATGGTCAGTCTGTGGCTGGCATACATTGCTGGTGGTATGTCCTCTTCTCTTTCCTTCCTTCCTTCTGTCTGTCTCTCCATCCTCTCGCTGGTGCTGGGGAGGGGAGCGGGGTGAAGGGCAGTAGGTCTTTCTCATTCCCTCTGTCCTCAGAAACCGGGATTGCAGGCTCTGTCCCACCTTGATTCCCCAAAACCCCAGTGGGGCAGGAACAGTCAGGCCCTCAAAGAATTACTCTCTTTCAATAGTTTTCTGCTAATTATGCAGACGTTTCGAGGAAGGCGCAGGGGCTGTGTTGTCAGTACCCCTCGGATCCGTGCGTTCATCCCAGGGATGAGAAATGTCTATTTACATTTTGTTGGATCAATGTGCCCCAAAGAGCTGACACACCACTATCATTGTAATCTGTCATCCCCATTATCTCCGGCATTCCAACCACCTCGAAAAATGCTAATATTAAGGGAAGGTTTCCAGTGCAGACAGGTGACAGCCAATCTAGTTTCATTAGTTACATAATAAAAATCGCAAAACTTGCTGTAACTGTCAGAAACATAGCACCAAAGTAATGGCTTAACTGATAAGAATAATCTTTCATCTTGGCAGATGGTTCATGTGCCAAGTTTCAGCCTGATGAGGTAAAAAAACCCAAGGGAAATGCAAACCTTTGAAAATCCAAGCTAACAAAGGAAATATAAAGTGACCCTTAACAGCAACAGTACCAGTGCCCTCCACAGTAATATGCTAAGTAACTTTTATGAATCAGGACCCACAGCATTTTACTCTTTGTTGGTGATTACATTTGGACTAGATTAATCATGAAATGGATGGATTTATGTTATTTGTAAAGGTGGATTGGTGGGCAAGTTGTGTGTATTCTAAATCCATTATGTTTGCAGAATGATTCCTTTATCTTCTAATACAAAAATTTTCTAGTGTCTTAATTCTGCTTTTCTTTTTGGATGGTTTAAGAGATTTAATTTCATTATGCCGGTCAGTGTTTTGTATCCAAGGTTTAGAGAAAGAGAGAGGGAGAAGGCCTAATCCAATAGCAAATCATTGATCCTATTGATCCATTTCCTGTTTCAAGCTATTTATTAAATAAGCTATAAGTCTTTGATTTTGATTAGTGAGGGTAAAAACCCTCAGAGTGCACTTAGAGAAGATTACTTACTCAGCTCTGTTTGGTACCTTGGACCAGTAGCTGTTTCACTGCAGAACTTTTGGCACTTGCTGAGGATTTTTTTTGCTCTTGGCTATTGATTTAGAGCCCATTTGCTGAAAATGAGGAGTTGCAGCAAAGGTCTGTGAGAATTTTGGGAATCAACACCTGGGATCTTGCCTTAGAACTAACAAACTTTGACTGGAGCCTCTTCAATGCAATTCATGAGGTAAGAAGCACCGTGTCCACTTCCAGGTATATTCTCTGATGCAGCATTGTGCCATTACGATGTTGACATTGCACCAGCATTTTGGAGCATCAGTGTTCCTTGGTGCTCTGTTCACCATCATGACTGCATGATTTGGCAGCTCTCAGTAGTGGTGGCATTGAATTAGGTCCAGGAAGTGTGTCGTAATCCTTGATACTGAAAAAATTTGTCAAAGGTTTGAAACTTGCCTGTGCTGGGGCATGTCATGTGTTCCCTGTATACCTTGTGAGCTTTATTGAGATTTCCCTCAAGAGAGTAAAAGAGCATGATTATTCTCCAAAAACTGGCTGTATAAATATGTTGTATATGCAAATTGTCTTTTGCACTGAATAATGTTCCAATAAATATAAGACTCCACAAATAGGTGTCTTTGATATCACTTTAGCCACAAAAGAATTCACAATTTCAGCAATTTACATGGTCACATTACTGTTCTTGTTAGACTTCAGTGAGATAAAAAATACTGGGCAGACTTTATAAAATGGGATAATGGCCCCTGTCAGTGCCCAGTGGGTTGTTTCAATGACTTTGGTAGATTCAGGTGTGAGCTGCTGAACAAAATACAGTTAACAGTACAAAATGTCACTTGAAAATATCTTTCACTGAAAAGCATGGTGGCTTTCTGAGAAAACAAATGGGAAATTCCCTTACTTCTCGTCAGATGCTTTCCTTCATCTTTCATTTCAGGTTCTTTTATTCAGGTTAGACACTGTAAATCTAGAGCTGGTCAAGTTTATGGGTTGGTTTGGTTTTTTGTGTTGTTTTTGTTTTTTTTTCCCAGAAATCAATACCCACACCTCTGCTCCTGAAAACTTGGCTATTTTTAGGAAGAAGTTTGAATGGAAATTTTTCAGATTCTGCAATGGTCTGATATAGTTGCTTTTTCATACTGCAACAGAGGAGATTAAATACAGAAAGATACAGATTGCTTATGTGCTATCTCTGGCTGTAGCTAGAAGTGGAACTGCAGGAAATCTCACAAGAAAAGCACGTCTTGCAGGACTTTCAGTCCCCCTGCCTACTGTAATAAGCCTCTGGACTTTGCTGTGGCAAACCTGGACCCCGATTCATTTGTGACTGGTTCATGGATAATGCAAAAATAACCATCTGTAACCAAGTCTTGTTTCAAAAACACACTTCTAAATAATTTATAGTTCATTTACATTTTATTTTTTTTTATATCCCTAATAATGTTGTCAATGTCTTCCAGCAAGAGCTGATATACTTCACGTTCAGCAGACAGGGCAGCGCTGAAAACACCGAGAATCTCAGTCTTCTGCTTCAAAGATGCAACGAGGTCCAGCTTTGGGTTGCCACTGAGATACTCCTCTGCAGCCAGCTCTGCAAACGTGTACAACTAGTCAAAAAGTTCATCAAGATTGCTGCCCAGTAAGTTACTAAAGTTGCAACCAAAGTCCTTGAATTCAAATGCTTTATTTGATGAGCAGGGAAATAGGGGCAAAAGCAAAGGAAGAAAACTAATTTTTCATCCTGTGCTTTTTTGTCATTAGTTAGATTTGATGGTCTATTCTTGCGCCATTACCAAAGAGTGCTGGCATTTATTCTGTGCCTTGGAATGGAATACAAATATATACTATACACAGAGAGTTCTTTTCTCTGTAATCACTCTTATTTTAGTAACCAAGGGAATGGAGCAATTTAAATGTGTGCAACCATTCTCCTTGCCTCTCTCTCCACTTGTTGGTCTTCTGCAATATTTGAATATGCATGTTTGTAGAAAATGTATAATTTGTTCCTTCATCGACTGGGTTGATTTAATTTGCAAGGCACTTACATAGAGAGGACTGTTCTCTGCTGAAGCAGTGCCTTTGGTGAAATGAATTCTTCTAATGTAATCTAGTGTAACTCACAAATGTGATTTGATTTAGTTTGCAAGTTGTGTGGTATCCAGTAATACGTTCATTTTCTGCCTTATCAATGGCCAAGTTTGGTCCAATTACGTCAAAAATGGTTGACGTAATGTTGCTTGCACCACAGGAGCATTAATTTGCATTCCTAGGAAGGTTTCATGTCTTTCCCACATGAATAGGGATATATTTGTCAACAGACTAAAATGTTGCTCCATTTCAATTAATTCCATGTCAGTGAAGTGAAAAGACAAAGTTTTTGGAGACTAGATCCAGTTGTCAGTAAACAGCAGAGGGGTTCTCCCAGTGCATGGCAGAAGCACCCATCATCACAGTTTGTAGCCAGTGGAATAAGGGGTACACAAATAAGTGAGTGTGTAGCTTGCTTGCGATCTTTCTTTAATCAGAAAAGCAGCTTTCTAAAAGAAGGCATTATCATATCTCACCAGTTCTGGAAGAGCTGGTGAAAGAGGGTGGAAGGATGGTGTGGTGAGCACAGGACTCTCATGGTGAGGCACAAGCCAAGCAGCCCTGCTGTGTTGTTTGTGACCAAGGCAGAGAAGTGGGAGCTGTGAGAGGTTCTGGCTGCTCCCTGTTGCTCTCAGCTTGTCAGGAAAGCACCAGGACTAAGATCTCGGGTTCAAGGTCTGTGTGCTTCACTGTCGAGGAACTCCTGAAGATGGAAGGCTTTTCAACAAGTGTGTCAATACATAGAAGAGAGACTTTTTTTTTTTTTTTTTTTTTTTGTGGTTAGATACCTGGGTGACTGTTACCAGGAGCAGGCGTAAGGAAGCTGTGGTTTATTATTTGT